ATATCCTTCTTTCTTCTAACCCTTGAGCTGGCTAATTCCAGCTCTAAAAGATGAAGCCAATTTTTCCTTCTACCTCAAAGTAGGCTGAGGTCCCCAGAAGCGGGCTCCAGCCCCTATTCACTCCTTTCATATTTCTCTTACCACACTGAGCTTAACCTCTGTAGCAGGTTTGTCAGTTTCCTGAGAACAGGAACAGTTTCTAATTAACTTTGATATCTACCACCAACTATCCCAGGGCTTAGTACACAGCAGGTGCTCAATAATCTACAGATGTTGAATTCCTAATTGAAAATAGAGTTATTAAAATCTTGTCTCTGAATGTCCCTTGACTTACTTTCCAGTACTAGAAAGTTAAACAAGTAGCTTGAACTCCCTATGACAAATCCTGGAGCTCGGGGATAGTCTGTCTGAGTTTTCCCAAGTGAGCACAAGTAAGGTGAGACAGTTCTTTGTTTCTTTCTTCTTTTGTTTATGATTCATCAGTCCATTTTGAATTCCCAAGTAGCTTGGAGAAAGGAATTTGATATGGGTCATAATTTTTCCATCTATTTTTATATTTTTATTACACTATAACCAAACTATTATTTTTCTGTTTTTATGGACTTGAAATAATTACACGATTACAAAGCCATTTACTTAAGGAAGTAAAGCATTATTTATTTTGACCACCTGCTGTGTACACTCTGGCCTCTGAGGTAGGTATTATGGGTGCATTATTTATGCAATTCTAATAGCCCTAAGAGGAAGGAACAATTATCATCATTTTAAGATTTAAAACAAAAATAAAACAAAGCCCTGAAATACAAAGCGATATTCTTATTGTGAGTGCTGGCTCCCTCTTTAACGGACTGTGGCCAATCGTAGCCGTGTTTTGCAGCTGTGAAATTCTGCTGGACCACTGCAGTGATTCCTGGCTATTGCCTGATTGGAATTGCCATGAAATGAAATTTCTCACAACGTTATTTTATGTTGAGTTTTAATTATTGATGAGACTGGAATTTATTAAACCTTAAACAATGCATAAAATAAGAGAGCGAAAAATGATATAACCATTCTAGAAGACAGATTTGTAGTTTCTTAAAATACTAAACATGCAACAAACTATATTACTCAACAATTGCACTCTTGGGCATTTCTTCCAGAGAAACAAAAGCTTATATTCATGCAAAATCCTGGCACAGTGGCGAAACCAGCAAGAGGACTCCCACCATGTAAGTGGCCTGGACTGGCAGGCCTCTTTGTCCAGGCAGGAAAATAATTCATTGCATTTTGTCTTTAAGCAAACAACTGGAAACAGCCTAAATATCCTTACGTATAGGAACTAATTAAAAATGGACTACTACCATACAGTAAAAAAAAGAGAGAGATTGAACAAGAGATGGATGAGGATGGAGAAAAAGAGAGAACATAATTTATTTTAGTAGGAATAAGTAGTAAGTCATGTAGAATAATGCCTGATAGTCACGTAGTTTTAGATTTGCAATTTGGAGGGTCAGTGAAGAATACATATGTGTGTATATATATGTGTGTGTGTACACACACACACAAGTATTTGGGGGAAAATTCATGGCTTATCTCCCTAGTTACCTTCTATCACTGCAAATCTTCAGCAGCACAATAAAGGATATTAAAAAACAGTTGCTCTGGATCTTGGGATTTGAAACTCTCAAAGAGGGGAGGAAATCACTAAGTGCCTGTTACCCTGGATAACACCTGCCAGCAGTCTCCTGACTTGTAAATAAGATCCCCTCTGAAGACTTTTCTTACTCAAATATTTTGTGATTTAAAATGTTTTTGTTTTGTTCACATTTTGATATAATTGTTAGTGAACAAGTATATGACTGTTTAGTAGAAACAAGTCAGGGAAGAATCTAAGAATCGTCATTCTCAACCAACTAGAAAATTAGACCTTTAATAAATAATGAACTGCATTTCTTTTATGAAATCATTTCCATTCCTTTGATATTTACATATTTTAATGGTGTTTTTGTATTTATGAGCAGATTTCAATCATGTTAAACTTTAGGGATTTCCCTCCAGAAGTGTTGCAAACTCTTTTATTATAATATGTAAAAAACTATACTCAAAACTGGAATTACTAAAATTAATTTAAACCTCCAAAGATACACTTCTAAGCAGATGGGAGAATATTTAGGCTATTAAACCTAATTCATAAATCACCATCTAGGGTAATGAGACTTTAATGTTCTCTTCAATTTTTCCATTAATTTAAAGTGTCCAGGGCTTTCAGATAAGTTATTTTGGTATAATTACTATGGAACAAATATGACTCTGTTGCTATAGAAAACTTCTTTCTTTTTTTTTTTTTGACACAGAATCTCACTTTGTCACCTTCGATAGAGTACCATGGTGTCATAGCTCACAGCAACCTATAACTCTTGGACTTAAGCGATTCTCTTGCGTCAGCCTGGCGAGTAGGTGGGACTATAGGCGTCTGCCACAAAGCCTGACTATGTTTTTGTTGTAGTTGTCATCGTTTAACAGGCCCGAGCTGGGTTTGCCTCCCAAGTGCAAAAAATTTATTTCTTAAATGTCTTTTTCCTTCTGTATTGAAATCTCTGATTTCTTTCCCATATATATATGATGATACATAGCAAAATATGTAGATATTCCAATTTTATATTTTATTATAATTTGCTGATTACAAAAATAAGTATCAGAGATTATTTTTAGAATAAATGCAAAGGTAATCAAAGTTTAGTTTACTTTAAAATATTATAATATTGTAACTACCAAGGATCAGAGCCTATCATTAATTCTATATGCTACTGAATTACTTATTAGTTTGATCTAGCTATGATAATGGTCTGGATTTACATAAGCTGATGGAAAATTGAAAATTTGATCTTTAACTATGGATATCAAGGTTTCCAGAAGTTGCGTGTGTCTCTGAATAATCAGAACCACATGGTGTGCCAAGAAGATGCCTTTAAGAAATGCTTTATAGGCTCAGCGCCTGTGGCTCAAGCGGCTAAGGCACCAGCCACATACACCTAAGGTGGAGGGTTCAAATCCCCAGCCCGGGCCTGCCAAACAACAATGATGGCTGCAACCAAAAAAATAGCCGGGCGTTGTGGCAGGTGCCTGTAGTCCCAGCTACTTGGGAGGTGGAGGTAGAAGAATTGCTTGAGCCCAAGAGTTGGAGGTTGCTGTGAGCTGTGATGCCAGAGCACTCTACCTAGGGTGATAGCTTGAGGCTCCATCTCAAAATAAACAAATAAATAAAAATAAATTAAAACACTTTAAAAAAGTTATTAAGGACTCCAAAAAGCTTTTATTAATGGGATTCACATGTATCAATATTTGTGATATTTAAAAAAAGCAAAAAAACTTAGTATTTCTTAATTTATTTAAAATCATAGTAATTAACCTATCATATGTTAATATAAGTGGTAATTTCTATGAAAATAACTGTATTCTCCAAAACACAAACATATTAATGGAGAATAGTAGCAAGACTTTTGTGACTTTACAAATCTCTCTCTTTTTTTTTTGGCTGGGGCTGGGTTGGAACCGGCCCTCCAGCATATGGGGCTGACACCCTACTCCTTTGAGCCACAGGCGCCGCCCACAAATCTCTTTAACGTCTGGCTTTGCTGTCTGGCTGCATTTGCATGCCTGCTTCTGTGTTCAGGCTCTTGTAATACCACATATTATCCAGCCTCTGGAAAACTCCATTGTATGTGTATAAAGGAATGAGAGTAACAGGACAAATAAAGTCTTAATATTCTCTAAGACTATTAGAAAATCTTTGCTGGTGGGTTCACATATTCTTCCCCACCAGCAAAGATTCTTGGGGAGCCTCAGCGCATCCAGACCACTACTTGAAAATCACACATACACACTCAGATTATACGATTGAATTAAAAATGCAATTATGTGCCGCGTGCCTTGGCTTACACCTGTAATCCTAGCACTCTAGGAGGCTGAGGTGGGTTGACTTTTTGAGTTCAGGAGTTCAAGAACAGCCAGAGCAAGAGCCAGACCCCATCTCTTAAAAAAAAAAAAAAAAAAAAAAACCTAGCTAGGCATTGTGGTGGGCTCCTTTAGTCCCAGGTACTTGGAGGCTGAGGTAAGAGGATCACTCGACCCCAAGAGTTTGAGGCTGCTGTGAGCTATGACAACAGGACTCTCCAATAAAGTGAGACTCTGTTCAATAAATAAATAAATAAATTATGGTTATGTGCCACTTATGGTAAAAATATTGAAAACATAAGAATAAACTGAGGGTACAAGAATGCCCAAAAAGTAGACCAATAAATGTATGTGTGTTGTAGTGTCAGTGAGCAAACTTTAAGGCAAGCTTCATTGCTGGAGATTAGGGGGATACAGTATTCTGATAATAGTCTCCAGGAATATCTAACAATCCTAAACTTATAGTATTGCTAATAAAAAAGATAATACACAAAGACAAAATTGACAAATCCATCATTATAATGTAATATGGAAAAAAAACATTAGAAATTGCTAGATTCTCAGACAACTGAACAACAAAATAACGAAACTTGTTCTAATTGACCTCGGAGTGCACCAACACACAGATGCCAGATAGTTCGCAGAATGTGTGAATTTAACCTCCAGAAAGCTGAAGGTTAAAACTGTGGGCCTTATGTGCCCACTGAGGCTTCCCATAAAAATTAAGTTCATTTTGGGGGAGGCAGGATTCTTAAGTCTTTTAAGCTATTAAGACAATTTATGGCACTGTTTGGGAAATACTGGTTGGGCAACTGTTGTAAAGATGCTGTACTTATTCAGAGTGCCATGCTCACTCTTATTAAGGGACAGAGAAGGACCTTCTCTGTGTATACCCAACATCGTGGAGGTAAAGAAATAGGATTGCCTCTCCGAACTAAATTATGAAATCAATTTATGGTGTTTGCAGCCACTGCCGCGCCGCCGTAGCTGTCTAATGGCAGTGCCGCCTCTAGCTCGCCGAGCTCTAGCCGAAGAAGTGGGATAAGTTAGGAGGTCTTTATACGATGTCTGGTACAAAGCAGACTGCCCGCAAATCCACCGGTGGTAAAGCACCCAGGAAGCAACTGGCTACAAAAGCCGCTCGCAAGAGTGCGCCCTCTACTGGAAGGGTGAAGAAACCTCATCGCTACGGGTCTGGCACTGTGGCCCTCCGTGATATAAGACGTTATCAGAAGTCCCCTGAACTTCTGATTCGCAAACTTCCTTTCCAGCGTCTGGTGGGAGAAATTGCTCAGGACTTTAAGACAGATCTGCGCTTCCAGAGTGCAGCTATTGGTGCTTTGCAGGAGGCAAGTGAGGCCTATCTGGTTGGCCTTTTTGAAGACACCAGCCTGTGTGCTATCCATGCCAAACGTGTAACAATTATGCCAAAAGACATCCAGCTAGCACGCCGCATACGTTGAGAATGTGCTTAAGAGTCTGCTATGATGGGAAAGCATTTCATTATCAAAAAAAAAAAAATTCTCTTCTTCCTGTTATTGGTAGTTCTGAATGTTAGATTTTTTTCCCCCCATAGGGTCAAAAGATACTTAAGTATATGATTGCGACTGGAAAAATAGGGGACAGAAATTAGGTATTGGCAGTTTTTCCATTTTCATTTGTGTGTGAATTTTTAATATATAATGCGGGGATGTGCAGCATTAAAGCGAGTCAAAGGTTTCAGTGAACAAGTTTCAGCAGTTCAACTTTATAACAATTACAAATAAACCTGTTTAATTTTTCTGGACAATGCCAGCATATGGATTTTTTTAAAACAAGTAAATTTCTTATTGATGGCAACTAAAAAAAAAAGAAAAAAAAAGAAATCAATTTATGTTGGAGAAGAACAAAAAAAGCCACCTTAAATAATAATTATTTATTGGGCATTGTTTTAGATGTTTTACGTACATACTCTCTAGTTTAAGGCTTAACAAAAACCTAATTGAAAATTTTAACATTGAAGAAAAGACTATCATGCAAAATGGGGGTTAGCTTCCAATTTTAGGAAAGGAAAGTTTGGAAGAGAATTTTCACAAGGTGTCTCCAGTGTTAGTCAGAAAAGCTCATCTTGGTCAACAAATACGATTGTGTGACCTTTGCTACATTTCTAGTAGTGTAGATTGGTAACTGTGCCCACTGAGAGGAATCAATTAACTTCCTTTGCTCTAATTTCTTGCTTTTTCAACTCAAATTCTGCTATCATTTGCCTTCCTCCTGTGCTCCGCAGTAGAAAGAAAACTGAGTGATCATTGAATACGAGCGCTGGTTCTCTTCATAATTATGTTCTCTATAAAATGATAATAGCATCTTTAAAAAATACTTCTGCTTCTTTACTTTAGAAAATATACTTTATAGATGAAAACAAAATACTTTTTTATAATGTAAAAATACTTTTGGGAAGTATTTTTTTAGAATTTTCTGCGACTTCATTTGCTTCTGCGTTTGGTAACCAGGAGTCACTCTGATTCTCTCTGAATATGCCAGTTAATCATAATCTCAGTCCAAAGCTAAAGTGGCATGAGATGACAGCTCCAAGGTGCTCCTGACCTTGTGTGCCTGTCAGGCAGCCAACTGATCTCGCCCAGGACAATGAATCTCACTGCTGCCTGTTCCATTTGCAATACAACACTGATTATCCTACACACCAAGCCCCGGGATGCTCTGGCTTATCCTGTGTTTGGTCATTGGAGGAGAATAAAGGAGTATCTTTTCGCTTACTTTTATTTTGTAGATTCAACAACATACATTGAGCCCTTACTACACTGTTGAGCATAGCAGGGTATTTTAAAGTGAAATAAGAATCTTTTGTTTTCCGCTTGAAATGTATCTCATCTTATAAAATTGACTTGTTCTACTGAACTTGAAATCTGCTCATTAAATGTGCCACTTCACCTTTCTTCCTAACGCTGAGAGTGGGCTGTTTCACGGTTCTGATTATACATGTATCTGTGTGATTATCTGATTACATTCCAAACCAAAATACTCTAGACCCTAAATTCAAAGAGGAAGAGAACTCTGAATTTTTTTTTTAAACCCCTGGATGCTTAACATTTTGTATAGTGTCACCATCACCTGACACATAGTGGGAATAATAACTGTTTGTGAATGAATGAGGAAAGCATGAAAAGAGAAGCAAGTCTAGATCAAGGGCACAGAACAAACACAAACGCAGAGGTGAGAGCTGCCAAGCTAGAGAACACAGAGGGATTTTTTTTTTTTTTTAATGGCAGATAATCTGTTACTGAACTGCAGGATGTTTGGGGCGGGGTAAATGTCTCAGAAACATTTAGTGATGTCCCACTAAAAACCCTGTCATCATCCCTGACCAGATTCTTAAAAACAAGGGTTGTTTATTTTTGTCAAGTGGAAATTTACATACAGTGAAATGCACAGATCTTAAGTGCATAATTTGAAGAGTTTTGACGAGTTCACGTAACTTTTACCCCTACCTTTTCAAGATATAAAAATTTTCCTTCATTCCAGAAACTTCCTTGTCCCATTCGAGTCAAACTCCTCTCCCCATGGGAAACTGCAGTTCTGAAATACAACATTGCAGGGTAGTCCTGCCTGTTCTAGGTCTTCACTGAAATGAAGTTATACAGTAAGTACAAAGCTGCGCCTGGGTCCTTTGGTTCAGTGTAATGTTTTGGAGACTCACTTATGTTGTTCTGTATCTGTAGGTCATTCCTGCGTATTGCCTAATGGTATTGCATTAACAAATAAACAAATACATAAGAATTTGTTAACTAATTGTCCTTTTGAGCTACCTTTCAGTGGTTTCCCTTCAAGACTTACCATAAATAAATAACATGAATTGTAAATATGAACTTCATAGACACCTATAAATACAGTTGCAATGAACTATTATTCTATACATCTTTGTGAGCACATGTTTACCTTAATCTTGAGGAAACACATGGGGAATTGATAAGACGCATGTAGGTATTAACACTAGCAACGTGGGACACTTAGTATTGTCTTTTTTTAAAAAGATATGTACTAGTATTGCATTTTGATTTCAACTTTAATTTCTCTGATGATTAATGATGTTTAGCACTTCTCGTATCTTATTAGCCAGCTGTATATTTTTCTTATAAGGTATTTTTTAAATCCTTGGTCAGTTTTAAAAATTATATTGTCTTCTTCTGAGTTATGAGTAAGACTTCCTTATTTATTCCAAACACAAATTCTTTGCTCGATGTAGTTTTGCATGTATTTTCCCCTGGTCTGCTACTTGTTTATTAATTTTCTTTTTTTTTTTTTTTTTGAGACAGAGCCTCAAGCTGTCCCCCTGGGTAGAGTGCCATGGCATCACAGCTCACAGCAACCTCCAACTCCTGGGCTCAAGCGAGTCTCCTGCCTCCGCTTCCCAAGTAGCTGGGACCACAGGCGCCAGCCACAACGCCCGGCTATTTTTTGGTTGCAACCGTCATTGTTGTTTGGCGGGTCCGGGCTGGGGATTCGAACCCGCCAACTTAGGTGTACGTGGCTGGTGCCTTAGCCGGTTGAGCTATAGGCGCCGAGCCTGTTTATTAATTTTCTTAATGGTGCCTCTCAATAAGCCATTGTTTTAATTTTCTCAAAGTCCAGTGTATTCTTTTTTATGGTCAGTGTTTTTCATATTCTAAGAAGTGTTTGCCTAACTCAAGTTGGTGAAGAAATACTTCTATTTTTTTCTCTAGATGCATTAACATTTTACCTTTGCTTTTATAGTCTTATGATGAATCTTTGTGTGAAATGGAGATTTAAGGTAAAATTTTTATATAGATATCATGTTGTTCCAACACCACTTATTCAAAAGAAGAAAGATTTCCTGTCTCATATTGAATAGCTTCAGTGCTGTTGCCTAAAATCAATTGCTTATAGATGTGAGTCTGTTTCTGGAATTTCTATGCTTTCTCTTTGACCGACTTGTCTTTGTGCCAGTACTACAGTAACTTGCATGTTGTAACTTTATAATATGTCTTGAAATCAAGTAGTGTTATTTTATCCAATCTTGTTCTCCATTTTTCAATATTAGTTTTACTACCTATTTTCCATTTTTGCACACATTTTAGATTCATATTGCCAGTTTCTAAAAACAAAATAAACTTTTTAAAAAAGCCTACTAGAGTGGTGATTGAGGTTGTGTTGAGCCTACAAGATCAATTTGTGGAAAAATAACATTTAAAAAATACTGAGTTTTCCAATTCATAGATATGGTGTTTCTATTAATCCAGGTATCTTTAGTTTTTTCATAGCAATGATGCATAGTTTTAAGTGAAGTGGTCTTGCATATAAATTCACTCCGAAGAATTTTATGTTTTTATGCTTTTTTAGCGTTATTATATAGTAACTTTCAATATCCATTCATTGCTAAAACCTAGGAAAAGCTGATTTCTGTATTTTACTTGTCTTTGTATCCTGTAACCTTGCTAAATACACTTAACAATTCTAGTAGTTTTGAAAATTCTTTAGAACTTTCTATGTAAACAATTGTATCATATATAAACAGAGTTTTAGTATTTTTTCTTTCCAGTCTTAATGGTTTATATTTTTTTCCTTACTACATTGGTAAGAATGGGTATTCTCCTTGTTCACAATCTTAAGGAGAAAGAACCATTGACCATCACATTTAACTTTTGCCGTAGGTTTTGTCCAAATAACTTTTATCAGAGTCTTCCTAGTTTAATTTTCAAAATCGTAAAATAGTCATTACTTTCCCTTAAGTGCTTATGAAATTCTTAGAATATGCAGATTGACCTGGAATTTTCTTTGTGGGAAGACTTTTAATTACAACTTTAAACAGGATGCTGTTCAGATTCTCTAATTTCTTGCATCAGTTTTGGCAATGTGTCTTTATATATTTATATATGTAAATATTTCAGTTTCCTTACTGATACCTTTATTTATTTCTAATACTAAGATTTGTTTTATTCTCTCTTGTATTCTTAATCAGTCTATGAATTTGTCAACTATTAATTTTTTCGAACAGTCAGCTTTGACTTTACTGATCTTACCTAGTGTTTGTTTATATTTTATTTCACTGATTTCTGCTTACATATTTATTATTTCATTTCTTTTAATAGCATTTAATGTAATCTTTTTTCTAGCAAAATTTGAAGCTTATGATTCCTTTTATTCTAATAGAGAGCTACAGATTTTACCTTAAACACTACATTAGCAGTGTCACAAATTTTGAGCTGTAGTGCTTTATCATAATTCAGTTCAAATACTATTGCATCATTATTCTTAAGTTCCAGGATGTCTGCCTAACTTGAATCCAGTTTTCAAAAAGATGTTTCCCACCTGTCATACTCCCTCTCCCACTCCATTAGAAAGAATGTAAAATAATCTAATTTCCTAGAAATTTAAATCATATGTATATGAAGTACCAACATTTGCAAACTCAGGGTGAAAACTAACCTAATATAAGCTGTTTAGTGGGAGAGATATAATGTGAACGGGAAGGTGATGGCAAAAATGTGTAAGTGTGTGTGTGTCTTAGATTTAAGATGCTTTGTGTACTTTTAATTACAAGGCTGTGAAACTGGAAAGACTCTAGAGAATGTGAT